ACTATCTCTGAGCTCTTCAGCTCAAGGCAAACACTCTGCCACTTGAGTCACAGTGCCATTTCTAGTTTTCTGGTAGTTAATTAATTGGGGATGAGTCTCACTGATGAACAAGAAATGTGCTCATTACTCATATAACTGTAACCCTCTATGCAGCATCTTTACAATAAAACAAAATTAAAAAAGTCTCATTGACTTTTCTGCCTGGGCTGGCTTTGAATGGCAATCCTCAGATCTTAGCCTCTTGAGTAGCTAGGATTACAGGTGTGAGACACCGGCACCTGACTTCTGATTTATTATAGTTGCAATTTTAGTTTGCAAAACACAGAAAAATGAGCTTTGGATCCTTTTCTGAAAAGTGTAGTTTTATGCAAAATACTTCTGAGAATGCCATTTAAAATAGGTAAGAATTCTGAGAAATCATGAGAATAAATGTAAGAAAGCAAAGTTCATTGTGGTTTTCCTAAAGTAAAAATGGTTTCAGAAATCAGGTCAATTTTGCTAAATTTTTTTCAATACTTTAAATTGAACTCAGGACTAAAAAGTGAAAGTGTTCTTCCACATGAGTTACTCCTCATTGCTCTGCCTTTTCCGTTTTCATTTGTTTTTCAGGTAGGGTCTCAAGTTTTTGCTGGGCAGGCCTTGGACTGCCACACTCTTATCCTTGCCTCCTTAAGTAGCTGGTAATACAGGTGCACAGTACCACACCAGGCCCACAAAGAAAAGGCTAACAAAAGTGTTTTGTCAAGTTCTAGGGTGTAGAACTATTGGAACTTGATTTCATGTAACAAAATGTGAGCTGATGAAAACTTGATGTTTAATTAAAACAAACAGTATGGTAATCAATGAGGGAGACCAGTGGAGGACCACATTCAGGATAAGGTCCCCTCCCCTCCTCCCCCTCTTAGGAAAGCATGTCAGAGTCAAGAGAAAGGATCATCTGGAAAAATGGAGTTGATAACAAAAAAATGATATTTTTATTTTATTTATTTTTATTTTTTTTGTCTGTCTTGGGGCTTGACTTCGGGGCCTGGGCACTTTCCCTCAGCTCTTCAGTTCAAGACTAGTGCTCTACCACTTGAGCCACAGCACCACTTCCTGTTTGCAGGTGATTAATTGGAGATAAGAGTCTCATGGATTTTCCTGCCCAGGCTGGATTCAAATGGCAGTCCTCAGATCTCAGCCTCCTGAGTAGCTAGGATTATAGGGGGGAGAGGGGGACACTGGCATTAATGACATTTTATTTATTTATTTTTTGGGTCCAGTCATGGGGCCTGAACTCTGGGCCTGGGTGCTGTCCCTCAGCTCTTCAGCTCAAGGCTAGTGCTTCTACCACTTGAACCACAGCACCACTTCCAGCTTTTTTTCTTTTTGCTTATGTGGTGTTGAGGAATAGAACCTAGGGCCTCATGCATGCAAGGCAAGCACTCTACCACTGAACCACCTTCCCAACTCCATTAATGACATTTTAAAAGATTCTTTTAGGCATAAATAGTAGTGAAGATAGAACAGGATATTCAATTTGATAGCAGCTCATTTGGTAAGATTCTCTATTCAGGTTGATAGGAAGAAGCAGGGAAAAAGAATTCGCAAAAAACTTTATATAAAGTAAATAAAGATTGTGTCTGTTAAAAACTAATCTCATACTTAAAAATAATGCTTGTTTTTAGATACTTTCAGAATTAATCTTGTAAGAGCAATGGAAGGTTTTACCTACCTGTGGAACTAGCTTCTTCCATAGGTCCATAACCTGTTGTCAGTAGTAATAGCTAAGCCAAGATTGAATGACTAGGCTTCATTCTCTTACAAAAGAGATTGTAGCTCAGGTCAGTAATCTAGTTTACTCAGGAGACTGAGATCTGAGAATTGTAGTTTGAAGCTACCTGAGGCAGGAAGTCCACAAGACAGTTTCATTTGGTAAAAGAACAGACTACTGTAGTTTTTTTTTTTTTTTTTGTCAGTTGTGGGGCTTGAACTCTGGGCCTGGGTGTGCCTGCCCCTCATCTCTTCAACGCTCTACCACTTGAGCCACAGTGCCACTTCCAGCTTTTTCTGCTTATGTGGTGCTGAGGAATCGAACCCAGGGCCTCATGCATTCAAGTCAAGCACTGTACCACTGAGCCACCTCCCCAGCCCACTACTGTAGTTTTAAATCAACTGTGAAACTGGGCACAGTAGCTCACACCTATAGTCCTAGCTACTCAGGAGGCTGAGATCTGAGTATCATGAATTGAAGCTTGGGCAGGAAAAATTTGTGAGATTTTTTTCTCCAATTAACTACCAAAAAGCTGGAAGTGGAGCTGTGGCTCAAGTGATAGAGCGCTCGCCTTGAGTTCAAGCTCCAGTAGTGGCACAAAAAAAGTCAAGTGTGGTATCTTCTAAGTGTGCTTTCTTTCTTTCTTTTTTTTTTTTTTTTGTCGGTCGTGGGGCTTGAACTCTGGGCCTAAGCGTTGTCCCCATGACCTTCAGCTCAAGGTGAGCGCTCTACCACTTGAGCTACAATGCCACTTCCAGTTTTCTGGTGGTTTATTGGAGATAAGAGTTTCATGGACTTTCCTTCCCGGGCTGGCTTTGAACTGTGATCCTCAGATCTCAGCCTCCTGAGTAGCTAGGATTACAGGCGTGAGAGCCACTAGCGCCTGGCTCAAACTGTGCTTTTTTTTTTCTTAAAGTTTTTTGGCTTTAATTTATCATGATCCTTTGTCATTAATTTTTTACTTTTTAATAAATGAGCCCAAACTTTGAATGAAGACCCAGAAAAATCTTGCTGACAAGGGTTGGGTAAGACCTATTGGATCAAATAGAATATTTTCTAAGCCGGGCACTGGTGGCTCTTGCCTGTAATCCTAGCTACTCAGGAGTCTGAGATCTGAGGATCTCTCTCAAAGCCAGCCTGGGCAGGAAAGTCCATGAAACTCTTATCTCCAATAAACCTCTAGAAAACCAGAAGTGGTGCTGTGGCTCAAGCGGTAGAGGACTAGCCTTGAGCTGAAGAGCTGAGGGACAGTGCCCAAGCCCAGAGTTCAAGCCCCATGACTGACCAAAAAAAAAAAAAAGAATATTTTTCTAATATTGAATATATAGATTTTATAATGGTTTGTGATGACAGAAAATTATGAGCAATTTAGAATGAGTTAAGTTCTACAAAGTTAGGATATTAAAGCAAAACTACACTCAAAGTTAGTAAATAAAAGCCCCCAGTTTCACAGTATTATTTATTTTTTATTTTTTTTTTGGGTCCGGTCGTGGGGCCTGAACTTTGGGCCTGGGCACTGTCCCTCAGCTCTTCAGCTCAAGGCTAGTGCTCTACCACTTGAACCACAGCGCTACTTCCGGCTTTTTTCTTTTTGCTTATGTGGTATCGAACCCAGGGCCTCAGGCATGCAAGGCAAGTACTCTACCACTGAGCCACCTTCCCAGCCCCAGTTTCCTTTCATTTTCTTTTCTTCTTTTTTTTTTTGTTCGATCCTGGGGCTTGAACTCAGGGCATGGGCGCTGTCCCTCAGCTCTTCAGCTCAAGGCGCGTGCTCTACCTCTTGAGCTACAATGCTACTTACAGTTTTCTAGTGGTTTTTATTGGAGATAAGAATCTCACAGACTTTCCTGCCCAGGCTGGCAGCGCCCTACCACTGAGTCACCTTCCCAGCCCCTCACAGTATTTTTTAAAATAGAGATTATGGTAATAGTAGAAGTTTCAGGAAATAAATTATATTTCTCATAACTTTTTTTTTCTTCCAGTTCTGGAGCTTGAACTCAGGACCTAGGCACTGTCCCTGAGCTTCTTTTGCTCAAGGCTAGCACTCTACCATTTGAGCCACAGTGCTGCTTCCAGCCTTTTCTGTTTATGTGTTACTGAGAGATTAAACCCAGGGCTTCATGCATGCTAGGCAAGCACTTTCCCACTAAGCCACATTCCCAGCCCTCTCATTACTTTTTATACTTCTCCCTTTTGATATATAGTAGGATCTTTATGGTAAATATTAAAATAATTCTAGCATATTATTTCTTCAAGTCATAGAATTAAAGGAAATCAGGAACCACTAATATTAAAAATGTCATTTTTATAGCATCTTTTTACTTCCTAAGCATACCATTTAATTCAAACATTAAACTAATAACACAGTACAAGATTTATTTTCTTTTTTGTAGCTAAGAAACTAAGTTGTGAAAGGTGAAATGGCCCTAGTAGGTCACGTAGTATAGACCTGAAATTAGAACTAGTCAGTTCTCTAGTTAGTTTTCTAGTTCTTTGCATCAAATTGCCGCTGTCTAATGCCAGTATATTCAAATAGATGACATTGTACCATGTTTAATTGTTTTTTAATATTTCACAGCTGGCAGACACACCAAAATCTGAAAGATACGAGCATGTTCTGGAGGCATTAAATGATTACAAGACCATGTAAGTTGATTTATGTATTTCTATGAAGGAGACAGTTACTGAGTGTAAAGAATAGATAAGAATTGTAGGATTGGTGTATGTAACAAGTTTTTACCATTTTGAAACTTTGAATGTCTACATTTTGGAGGCACAATAAAGCAGGGATTATTGAGGAATAGAAAAAAGAAGCCAGGTGCTGGTGGCTCATGCCTATAATCCTAGCTACTCAGGAACCTGAAATCTGAGGATTGCTGTTCAAAGCCAGCCTGGGCAGAAAAGTGCATGAAACTCTTAACTCCAGTAAACTACTCAGAAAAAGCCAGAAATGGGGTGTGGCTCAAGTGGTAGAGCACTAGCTTTGAGACAGAAAGGCGTAGGGACAGTGCTCAGGCTATGAGTTCAAATCCCAGCAACAGCAAAAAACAAAAAAGATTATTTGTGGGAATGAGTAGGTGGGAATCATATCAGTATCTTCAAAGAGATTTTGGTCTGTTCTTTTTGAAAAAGCGTATTTAGTAATTTGCTTATTTTTATAATGCAGTTGTATTATTGTATATACCTGTTATAGAAAGGTGGTAGTATTACTGGTTTGAGCTGTCTGAGATAATTAAGTGATATTTTCCTATATTCTTATTAATCTCTGCCTTTTTAAAAACCAGCATATTTATATATATTTTTTTCTTAACATTCTTGGGGCTTGAACTCAGGGCCTGGACACTGTGCCTAAGCTGCTTTTGATCAAGGCTAGCACTCTACCACTTGAGCCACAGTGCTACTTCCAGCCTTTTCTCTTAATCTGATACTGAGGAATGGAACCCAGAGCTTCATGCATGCTAGGCAAGCACCTTGCCTCTAAGCCAGAGTCCCAGCCCCATATTTAAATTTCTTGAAAATACTTTCAAATTGTCACAAAAATCTTACAAATGTGTTTATATAGACTCCAACAAACTACTAAATTATGCAATTTTTCTTACAAGTTGCTGTTTTGAAGTTGCCAGTAATTTTCATTAATTAATGTGTCTATTACTAGTGACTAAATCATTGAAGTATCTAAGCAATCTGTAAGGCAACTGATAAAATATTGGTGGAGGGCTGGGAAGGTGGCTCAGTGGTAGAGTGTTTGCCTTGCATGCACGAGCCCCTGGTTGATTCCTCAGCACCACATAAGCAGAAAAAGCCAGAAGTGGTGCTGTGGCTCAAGTGGTAGATTACTAGCCTTGAGCTGAAATGCTGAGGGACAGCACCCAGGCCCAGAGTTCAGGCTACATGACCCCCCCCCCC